TTGCTCACGGAAAGTGAAGTATAGCTTGTATTCGTGTGTATGCCTTTATCCTTTGTGCATTCCATTGATACACCATAATCGAATATGTTTTATGCTCCTGTACAAAATTGTGTGGTTAATCTGGTTTTGTATGCTTCGATTTTTCTATCTGAATCATTCCCGACCGTACTGTAGTTCGTTGTTTTTCTGCTTTCTTCCGGATTGAGTTTCGATCAATTCTATTTTGTTTTCGGCTGGTTTTATTCTCTGTTTGTCTAGACTGTATTCTGGACGCTTCAGAGGTATTTATCGGCTTCTCTCTCGCTAGTCTTGATTTTTGTTAACTTGATTGCTGATTCGCTTACTAGTATTGCATGAATTTATCCTCTGCTATGGATTTTATCTTTCTTTTCAATTTTCTGATTGTTGCTTGGACTCGATTTTGTTTACCGGTTTCTGAATTTGGTGATGATTGATTTTCGGCTAAATAGTGAATTCTTTTCCGTCCGAGTATTTTTTCTTTCTCAAATATGAAATCTCCTGTGGTTCATCGTTATGCGTCGCCGATTTTGGAGGAATTTTTGCTTTGAGTGCTATTTTTTTTGCTCACGGAAAGTGAAGGAAGTATAGCTTGTATTCGTGTGTATGCCTTATCCTTTGTGCATTCCATTGATACACCATAAACGAATATGTTTTATGTTCTTGTTCAAAATTGTGTGGTTTAATCTGGTTTTGTATACTTTGATTTTCTATTTTAATTGCGCTGCCTATTCACTTTCTCGGATCATAAAATGCTTCTAGATTAAAGAATTAATTGTACTTTTATGCTTTAGGAATATTGAATTCATCGGTTTCTATAACTCTTTCTTTTTGTTCAAATCTTAGGTCCCTACAAAATGATAGGAGCACTAATCACCAGAGGACTCACGTATGTTCTGTTTATAATTATACTCTCGATTTATATGTTCAAAATTTTTTCTCTATAAATTATGTTCTTCATGTTCTAAGATCAAGTTTCATCATGGCGATAGGATGATTTTGGGATATGCCTATCCTGCTTATGAGTGTTACAAAACTGTCGAAACCAGTCAGCCACAGATTGAGCAACTTCATTATTGGTGTCAGTACTGGTATGACGTTACACTCTTCAAATTTCACCAATATTGGTTTTGCAATAATATCATTTAATTTCTTGATTTTGAAAGTTTCTCTTTGGTGGACGCAGGATTCTGGTGGCCATATTGACGATTCTCGAGAGAATTGGTGATTCTTTTGTTTCATGGTAAGATTTCGAGCCTTCTTTAATTTTAATGTTAAATATAATAGAAGTGATGTTTAGAAATAGTAATGAAAAATCATCTATCCTTCATTTTTTTTTTCAAAACGAAAATGTGTATTTTATTATAAAAAGTTATTTGGATTTGAATTGTTTCCCTTTTAGCTTCAAATATTCTCAAAACTGCTATAATTTTTTTCTTTCTTTTATTGAAAATAAAAATTCATATAACTTTGACCGTTAGTTTTTATAGGATTATTGTCTTTAGAATATTTATTTATTAATGCTGTCTTTCATGAAAGTCCCACCTCAGCTAATTTAAAGAATGATCTGGGTTTATAATCAAGAAATGCTATCTCCATTGGTAGGAGGCATTTTGAAAAGTCTAAGGCAAGACTACGAGAGTTTATGCTCAAAGTGGACATATCATAACATTGTCGAGAATCCTGTTTCTTGTGTATCCTTTTTTAACGTAGTTTTGAAAATAATTCTTCAATTTCTCTTAAGATTAGCAATATTTTTCTTTGGCTGGAAGGTTTCCGTTCTACAATGAAGCAAAGTTGGCATTCTTCGTTTATCTGTGGCATCCAAAAACAAAGGTATGAGGAAGGTAATATCAATATGGTTAGCATATTTAATCTTTATATGTTTAGAATATTAGTAAATATGGCACGAAACATATTGATGTGGATAGTTATTTTTAGAGAAAAAAATTACAAATATAAATACTTATGAAAAATATTTCAATTAACAAATAAACCTTTCCTACTTTTTAAATAAGTTTATTCAAATTTCTTACCGTGATATTTTATTGAACTTTTATATATATATATATATATATTTCATCAATATTTTAATAATTTAATGAAAATGTCCATTTTATTAGTAGAATGTTCTTGAATTCTTGCCCTCATCATTGCTTAATTAATAAAAAAATTTCTAATGTACAAAGGGAACCCTTTCGTCATTGTCAGGGGACCATAGTTGTTGGTTTAGTTGTCATTGTGTCAATTGTTGTTGATAATATAGAATTTATAAATACAGTGAATTAATTGAAACATTTCATATTTAGTTATTTAGTCAAAAGTTCATTAAAATCTCCAATACTTTTTAATGCAAATATCGTATGTACTGTCAGGGAGCGAACCATGTGTATGATTCATTCTTCCGACCATATGTTTCGAAGCACGAGCCTCATATTGACCGCAGCTTGACGGAATTCAAGCTGAAGGCTAGTGATACTGCTTTTATCTACTTTCAAAGAGCTGCCTCCTACTTTCAAACAACATTGTTTGATATATTTGCAAAGTTTGCTCATCAATCGACCACCCCTGCTGCTCCCAAGGTAATAAACGCAACACCATGATTTTCACATTATTTTACTTAAAGATACACACCACTATATATACTATCACTAAAATACCTACGCACTGTTGAACAACTGAGTACCTACACAATTTTTCAACCTTTTATAATTGTTTTTAAAAATAATTATAATAAATACTTTTCCTATCTAATCGATTTAAAAATGAGATACTTTTCGATTTTGTAAAATGATTTTAAATTTTTGGAGATGCTTTCAATGGAAGTAGTTAACTAGATCTTTCTTTTGTATTTTACGTAATTACTAAAAAAAATGTGTTTAAATAATTTCACTACTTAGTCCTATTTAACACATTCTAATTTTAGCTTTCTAGTTTTAAAAGTAAGGCTGTTTTATGTTTTTTATTTTTTATTTTTTGCCTTTTTTTTTTATTTTTTTTAACGTAAATTTAAAATTAGATATAGATTTTTCCCATGCAAGAGTATATGCATAAAACAGCATATTATTTTATACATACAAAACTTTTTTTTAAAAAAAATAATTAATTTTGATATATGATAAAAATAAATTAAATTATCGCATGCAAGATGCATGTTAGTATATATATCCTTCTTTAATAATGATTATCAATTTTGATCTTTTAAATGTTTTCTCATGTAATTTACACAAAATTAACTTTTAAAGATTCTGTTGTATGTCCTCAAAATTAGGGAAGTTTAAGTTGCTTTGACTTATTTTTTAGTTTAAACATTTTTTCTTAAAATATTTTTGAAAATACGCTCTCTTTTTTTAAAGAGTTTTGTTTGCATATTTGTCTAGTACACTACATTCAAAAGTGATTATACTCTTAACATATTTTTTTACGTTCTTTGGATTTTTTTTTTTTAAATTTCAGTTTAAATCCACTTTTTATCATCTCTAACTGTTTCATTGAGTTTGTACATCAATTTATTTTTAAAAAAATATTTTTAATCGTTTAAATTTATTTTCAAAACTATATTAAACACCTTTTCAGTAGTCATCTATAAAAAGCATAGTGAAAAAAAATCAATTTTTAAAACAAAGGGGCAAAAATTTAGATGAACCATTTTTCAGAAGTGGAGAAACTAATTGTTTGAAAATTTATTGACAGTTTTTTTTAGGTAAAAAATTATTATATTAACTATTTCTTTTATTTTCTAAAAGAGAAGAAAGAAACATTTTGTTTTTTCGTCCACAATTTCTAATCTTTATTTTTTTCGCTTTAGTTTTTGAAAACAAAGTTTAAGAATCTAATCGACTTTCAAGAATGGTAGGAATCTAATTGACCATTCAAATTAATCTATTTATTATTCTCTATTATTAAAATTAAGAAAAGAAAATAAACAACTTTTTTGTAAAAAAAATAAAATAATAAATAGTAAATAAACCTGATGAGTCCGACTCCCCTCCCAGTTTTCTTTTTGTTAATCCAATTGTGATAACAATGTGATACAAATGAGATTTGATAACAGCCGCAGAAGCAAGCATCAACCGAAAATGAAAAGGAGGAGGAAGCCAAAGAGGAATGAGATGGCAATGCCAGAAACATAAACAAAACATTCAGACGAATAAATGATACCCTAAACTTTCTTCCAAAAAGAAAACGTTAGATGGAATAAAAAACAATCCGAGAAGAAAACTCTGTACTATAAAATCTATTGTAAACTCATTTACCAATATTGTAAAAAATGAACAATATATTACTTCTTTCAACACCCCTCTCTCTTCTAATCTATTTCTTCTCAATTTTTATTTTTACAAGTTTATTTATGATTTTTAATGTTGTCTAATAAATTCAACCTTAAAAAACATCTAACACATCTTTAAACTTTAATTTTTGTGTTCAACTACACATTTGACCTTTCATTGAATTAATAGAATGGTATATAACAAGACCCTAAAATTCAAATTTTGTATAAAATATATTTTTTTACTTTTTTTTCTTTTTAATGTTTAATAAGTCAATAATTTAATTTTCAAAAGAACTATATGAACACAAAAAAAATTTAAATTTTAGTAGTTTATTAAAAATTTATTAGACACAAGCTTGAAACTTAAAAATTCAAGGGCTAAACTTGTAATTAACTTCTATCCTAGATGTTAGATGAACACGACTCTCCTGATATGATATTGTCCACCTTGAGCATAAACTTTCATGGCTTTGTTTTGGGCTTCTCCAAAACGCCTCAAACCAATGGAGAGAGTATTCTTTGATTATAAATCCATGATCATTCCCTAAATTAGCCGACGTGAGACTATTATCATCCGACACGGGTAAGAGGAGGGTCAAACTTATACCTAGAAATCATGTTAAGCAGAGGAATTTGACTACTAATATGCTATTCGTAAGGGAGCAACTAAAATTCTTAAGTAAGAAATAGAAATATCATAAAACTCATAAAGCAAAACAAAACCTTTTCTTAGTATATGACACATTGATTTCTAAGTCTAAACAACAAATTCATGAATTACAATATGAATGAATGAGGAGATATATAGCACAATCAATAGTCCTAATCATTTAGAAAGAGCAAGGAAATAAAGAGCTGAAAGTAGAGGGATTCTCGGCATACCTCTTCCCGACAAAAACGCTGTAGAGAATACACATAAACACTTCATATCCTTTCAGTTGAGAGTTGTTGATTCACACTTTCGTTATTACTCTCTTTATTATCTGAGGAATTCCTTCGGACGTAATTTTCTGTAAGAAATGGAAAAAATTGTGTCGTGCTCCATTAAAAAACCAGAGGCCATTGAATTGTTGGTCTTCAAGAACATTTTAAAAGTTGTGTTCTTCACCCCATAAATGCGTTATGCTCACTTGAGAATTTGATTCAAACCAATAATCATCGTCCATCTGCAAAAACAGAGCATTTTTTTCCAGCGAACAATGAGATATCTGTGAAAAACATTGAATTCATGCGGCTTTGGCTTTGAAATTGGACCTACATTATTATATAAAGGTAAAATTCTCTGCATTCCCTGAAACTCTTGGAAAGAAGAAGAACAATAAGTATCGTTGGTAGATATCTTATGATTCTTCTGTCGTTCAGAGCACACTTTCTCTTGGTGGAAAGTGCTTTCTTCCAGCTCTTGTTTTTCAGTCCTACAGGAATGAAAAAATGCATTATGTTCGAGATGGATATTCAAAAGGCGAAGCGGAATCTCAAGACGAATATCATGTACTTGTAAAACAAACGAACTCCGAGAAAGAGGAGGAGGCTGGCATGGGGAGTGTTGAGAACCACGAATCTTTACAATGGTATGATATTGTCCACTTTGAACATAAGCTCGCATGGCTTTGGTTTCGGCTTTTCCAAAAGGTCTCATACCAATGGAGATGTATTTTATAAACCCCTATGATCATTCCCTAAATTAACCAATGTGGGACTCCCTCTCAACAATCCTCCCCTCGAACAAAGTACACCATAGAACCTCCCCTGAGGTCTATGTAGCCCTCGAACAGCTTCCCTTTAATTGAAGCTCGACTCTTTTCTCTGGAGCCCTCAAACAAAGTACACCATTTGTTCGACACTTGAGTCACTTTTTACTACACTTTCGAGGCTAACAACTTCCTTATTCAACACTCAAAGATTGGAAGAACTGAGTTTGTAGCAGTATATAAGATGTCAGAATCGTATACCTCAATAGGTACAAATCAATCGGTCCAGTGGTGCTTTTGATGATCAGTCTACACTGCCTCTCAGAAAAACAAGCCTCCTGGTTTATACAGGAAACCATCAATGAGATGCCAATGCTAATGGGTTATAGAAATTAGCAAAATCTATAAATTTATGATGATGAATACCTCATCCGGATCGGGCACTTCAATATAGCTAGCTTGGGGGGCTTTAACTGCTATAAGTGTCTGATTCTAATCCATCAGTTACAGGAAAATAGTGAGTTAAAGGAGAAGATTGTTCGATTTCCTAAATTTATAAAGATTACCAAAGCTCAGGAAAAATAACCTTGAAGCAAGGAATCTGCAAGATATCTTCTTCTGTCATAAAAAGATTCCTGATAATCCAGGAGGGACAAATATTGAACGAAAGAAGCAAAATGTGTCGTTGATATGAGTAAAAAGTTTGAAGGGATGATCTTACTTTCTGTGATTTTCATTTTCCTCGAGATTTCTCAGAAGTTCTTGCTTCATCCTGCATAAAAAGGATCAGTGAGCCCTTTTTTTCTCTTTTTTTCTTATTTTTAAGGAAAAATGGTCTGATTTTCCAAAACTTAACCAACCTTATAAGTTCATCAAGTCTGCGTTCATCTGCATATAAACTCTTAACTTCAGCCTGCAATAAGATCCCAACATAATGAACAATTTAGAATATGCAGATTGTGAGTACGAATCTTGGAGTTAGAAGGGCCAAAGCCACTTTTATTAGTCTGTACCAGTTATAGTATTCTGCCGACTGATATTTTTCATCATATCCATTGGACTATACTAAATCTTCAGCAATATGCGTTATTATCCGATTGGATTGAACACCCCTCTATTGTAGAGAGTTCTTCAATAGGGAGTGAGTTATTATCCGATTGGATTGAAATTTGTAAGAACATTGTCTACGAAAATCGCCCACTCTCACTGTAAACCCAAAACCCCTACATAAACCTCCCACACTCCTCCTTAGCCGTATGCGTACGATCCCAAAAGGTACCGTTTTCCATACCTCTATCCCTGCATTACCATCTCTAGAATAAGTATGAACAATTGGAGGCCTTACACTATGACAAGTTGAGATGTCTATTCCTAACATAATCAATGAATATACAAATCATGAGCAATAGAGAGACTAAAAATTAAACAATAAAATCCCCAAGACTAAAATGCAAGGCACCTTAAATCTACCAACTTGATCGTTGAGCTCTTGAGCCTCATGCCTCACGCCTCCCCTGTTCAGAAGAGTTTAACTCATCAGTCAATGCACTTTATAGTTTCCAATGAAGCAATAAGGATAATGTGAATATAGTTACTTCCAACGTATGTGATTCGTGGTGGTTTTTTCTATAAGCCCTATCCCTTCAAGAACATTTGTAATGTCATAAATCCTCCTCTTTTGAACCTGAATCAAACATAGTTCTTAAATATCTTAATATAGAGAAATAAATAGTTAATACAACTATCAAAGTTGTAAAGGACAATAATCTCAGCTAATTATCCCAAAGACCTTCCAAAGAACAAAAAATGATTATATACCTTTAATATGTCCGCCGTTTTATTTAGATCAAGTGTTCCATCTTCAGCCTCCTGAACTAACCTGATAAATTTTTTCGTCAAGAAGCCTGCCGATTAAAATATACAAATTTTCAAATCTCAACGGCCAGATCCAGTGTATTCGGGAAGATTTCATTAGATATTTGTTCACCTCAACTTTACCTAAAGAGCTGTCGTACCGACCGTTTGTAGATAAATTAGGACCATCAAGATTCTCTGCAACAAAAAGAAAAGCTAAGGAATAAAAAAAGAGATAAACAAAATGTGCATATTAAATGGCATAAGGCGAGAAATGAAACGCATATGAGATGAACATTAATCAGTTGGATAGAAGGATACTGTGATTACCATCTGTAGATTTTTTAGTCCTGGACTTTGAATTTTTCTGCAACTTCAATTTTTTGTTTTGCTTTTCAGTTGCATTAGATACTGGTTCACAAGAAGAATCATTAGATCGCATCCTCTGTTCAGAGGCTACAGCTCGTTTGCTAGCCAAAGCCTCAGAGTCATTAATATCATATGTCCGTTTCAACTGCAAAAAGAAAATTGTTGATCCAATATATGTTTACAGAGATGAGAAAAGAAAATAGAAGTACACTAGATCGATACACAGATCATCAACTCTGATATTTAAGAAACTAAAGACAATCATAAGAATATCGAAAAAATTGCTCGCTAATATCTTGCGACATTTATGCATAGGATCTTACAGAAAGACACTCCACTGCGCTAAAATCGGAAACAGATTAAAATGGAAAAATAAAAAATCTACTATTAAAATTCAAGATACAAAAATTAAAATGTGTTCCAAATCTTGTCAGCTCAACTTAAGGCGAGAGAATTCCACTCGCGGCGAAGCGTAACAATTGACACATTAATTAGCAGCTAACTAAATCAAAGTAGAAAATCGCGATCCAGATTCATAAATCTACCAATCTTCACTAAAAAAACCTCGCGAACTCAACAATTGAATATAAATGCCGATCTTCAAACTTAAATGGATACTCAAACAAGATTAATCGCACATCAGAAATCAGAAAACAAACAGCAAAATGGATAAGATATCGAAGAAAAACAAGAAACTCACGTCGAGCATAGCAACTGTAGAATGTGCGTCGAGAGCAAGACGACCGTCACAAGCGTTGGATTGATCCGACGGCGGAGAAGATCGATGATACTGACGGAAACACTGAGGAATAGGTCGAGCAAGAGAAGAAGAAGCAGAAGACGAAGACAAGGACATGTCGCCGCGATGGTGAGAGTGAGAAGGAAGGAGATGTGATCGGAAATCGGAGTGTCCGTGACGGAGGAGGAGATCTTCGACGGCGTTCAACATCGGAGAAAATGGATGAAAAAGGGAGGGAGTTTTGGAGGTTTTTGAAGATTGGAGGGAAAGAGAGAGAAGCAAGAAACAAAAGTGAAGAGAGAGAGAGAGAGTACGTAGAAGCGGAATATTAATATATGGAAGGAATTAAAAAAACAGGAGATCTGAAATATTACAACGCCATTTTCCAATTACTTAATTAATTAATTAATAAGTAACACATTGTTCATCAAAATAAATAAATAAAACAACATATTTAACATTTTAAATTTTATTAATTTTATTAATTTTATTAATTTTATGTAACGACAATAAATAAAATAAAAAAAAAAAGTCCCCTTCAATTTTGCCCAATTTTAATGTTTATTTGAATTAAATTTACATATAAAAATAGGATTTTTTTTCCCAAATAAAGACAAATTTATAAGTTGTCTTTTTCGTAATTTAGAAAAAAAAAACAGCTAAAAGGTTAATAATAATAATAATAATAATAATAATATTAGTATAAATTTTGCTTTTAGGTTTGGATTCGCAGTATGCAAGAATTTGGGCCATTAGGCTATTGGGCCTATATTATTTAGGCCCAATTGATGCATATAAAAAATTCAAATTGCATTAGAAAATGGTTCATTTATGTAAAAAAAAAAAAAAAAAAAA